TATTTTGGAACTGTTCAAACTAAGTATATAATATTCTCTGCTAGTCCACAACGCTAGGAAGTTTGCAATAGAGACAAAAAGTCACACCTCTATGTGTTCCAGATTGTCTATGCAAAGACACACCTCCATGATGTGTCTTTGCATGGGCAATCTGGAACACATTGAACTGAAAGACTTGGCAGCATTTACTCTTTCTCTAATCACTTAAACCAAATCATTAAATATTTGTAAAAAGTTCAGAGCTTGAATCTCAAGTCTAAAATAAAAACTGAAATTAGAGTTGCTCTGAAATATATGAGCTTCTTTTAATGTGTTCTAATGTGTGGAATTTGGATGAAATTCCTCACAATGATTAATTGCTGCAATCGTGTTATTCAAGCAAACCTTTCTTGATATTGAGGTGAAAAATATTAAGGCATTGATTAATCACTTTTTGTCATCTTTTTGGAAGGCCAACAATTTTGATCAGAAGTCAAATTTGCTGCAGATGCTGCAATCAGAATTTCTAACCTTTCCATTCAACTTTTTAAACATAATTTCTTAAATGAAGCTTGGAAAACTCCTTAGAATTGTAGTGATTGCATTGTGTATTTTTGCTACAATTTAAGTGACAGTGGCCTCAAGTGAGCGTTCATTCAGTAAGTTAAAGTTCATAGAGATTTTTTTACGCTCAATTATAGGACAATAACAAAGAAGTAATCATACCATTTTGAGTATGAAGAGTTTTTAAAACATAAGAAAAAAAAAACATTGCAAAAATCAAAAGCTTGATTACTTAATTATACTTATATATAAGCTACATATTCAAAAAACTTGAGCAGGCTATTTTTTTTTTTGTTAAGGAGGAGGAGGAGGATGGGAGTTTTTGATCCCCAAGTTAAAGGATGCTCGGGGCCCCCTAATCCTGTGCACGACCCTGCCTAATTGAATTAGCTAAATTATTACAATTACCAGAATGCACCCCCTCCCCCACCAGAATCTGAAAGTTGTTTAGGACTTTTAGATTCTGGTGGGTATGCATATCCCATTAACCACTATGGTGGTAGATGTATATATCCGGTGGTATATCTGCATTTTTACATGGATGTATATACACCGGATGTAAATAATTTAAAAAATTATTACACTAAATTAAGATATTATTAGAACCACTTAAAAAACTATAACATTCATTTCAGGAACCATTACACCCATTAAACCACAACATCAGTTTAGGTAATTTTTGTTACTCGATTACTCTAACTAAAATCTCCAAGATTAGTTACAAACTTTTTGTTTATTAAAATCCATTATGTGTTCATTTTTCAGCTATTTCTTTACACACTAAAATTCTTTAGATAAAAAAAGAATTTTGTTTTAAGTGTTTTTAACTTTTAAACTCGCAGAGATATTTTGATGACTTTTGAAGTGGTGACTGAGAAAAGTGCGAATTTCATAAGTACAGACTGGCATACACTGAGCGACAAAATGATAAGACATCCCAAAAATATTTATAAAACTCTACTATACATTTATATTTAAAAACTAATTTTTATAGTAAATAAGAGCTAAGGGTTTACAAGATTAAAGAACATTTAAAAAAAGTTATTTTAAAGGTAATTGGTATTTTATTTAAAAAAAAATACTGTTCGTTTAGTGCGACAAAATTATAAGACAATTTTGGAAAAAATTCATATAAATTGTCTATTATAAAAAAAGATGTCTTAATTTTAAATTTTTTTATGTACAAAATGTCAATTGCATCCCATCCAGATGTGATTGATGGTTTCATATCAGCTAGTGAACTATATCGTTTACCACCTTCAAACACTATATGTGTTAGCTGTGCCCAAGTATTCTCAATAATATTCAGGTCTTGAAACCTAGCTGGTCACTTTAATGTTTCAATTTTACTGCTGTTGAAATGATCTTTTACTATCTTAGCTGTATGAACGCTAGCATTATCTTGCTGAAAAACAAAATTTTCACTAACAATGACAGATGCTTAACGTCGTAAAAATTCTTGAACAATTAAAAATGTTCCTTAGCTTTCATTTTTCCGTCAATAAAATTAATTTTTGGTTTGTCATGATACCCAATCGCACACTAAATCATTACACCATCACCACCCATTTGACGTCGTTGCTGTGTTACTGGTTCTTTACGCAAATTGTAAAAATAATAGTTTCATCTATCCGGTCCATCAAGAAAAAATTGTTTTTCGTCAAAAAAATACTACTTGTTAGCACTCTTTTTTCCATTTCTTGCCAATGGTGGTTTTCTCTGAAGTTTTTTGTGCAAAAGGTGAAAAGCATTATGAATAACTCGCTGAACTGTACTTAAATTTGCAATCATACCTGTTTCTGCAGCAGTTTGACGTGCAGTAATGAAAAATTTGAAGCTTGTCTCAACAACCTTTGCCTATCACGATCACTTAATGTTGATGGAAGTCCGGGACTTTTTTTATTCCATACATATGAGGACTATTAACCCTTTTATTATTTACAGTTCGGCTGCCTCCAATTGCTCTAACAGAGTGACCCATTTTCGATTAAATATTAAAAAGCACTTTTTTCTCATATGGACTCAACGGTGCAGCACAGCCCATTATTTATTAACCTGTGATTTTATACTTAATACAAGAAAAATCTTAAATACATTTTTAACTGTTCATAAAAATTTACTGTTAAATAACCGTCTGTGGTGTTTACATCAAATAAATAAATGTAATTGCCCAAACTGCAGTTTGTAAATAAAACGTTTTTTGTAAAATTGTCTTATAATTTTGTCAGAGTATATATATATATATATATATATATATATATATATATATATATATATATATATATATATATATATATATATATATATATATATATATATATATATATATATATATATATATATATATATATATATATATATATATATATATATATATATACTATATATAACAATAATAAATATAACTGTAATAATAAATACTCTATAATATAGTGCTTATTACACCATTGTATCACCAGTGAGTATATATATTGTTATATATAGTATATATATATATATATATATATATATATATATATATATATATATATATATATATATATATATATATATATATATACTATATATAACAATAATAAATATAACTATAAATAATGAACACTATATAATATAGTGTTTATTATTTATTAGTTGCAAAACAAACAGTTTAAACTTCTTGTTGCGCATGAATGCGCATGTGCAAAATTATTCGAAATGGCTATGTTTTATTTTAAGTCTAAACACTAGAATTCTCTTATTTATTTTATATCTTGTTGAGTATCTGCAACTAGGGATGTGCAGAAAAAACATTTTATTAGCTTTTGTTAAATAAAAATACAAAGCAATACAAAAGTTGTCTTGTTTAATCTTGGAATAATCAACTCAATAAGATAATCTTTTTAATAACTTATGGAATTAGTAGCTGTCATTGGATATTTAAAAAGCAATTAATTTATCAAATGTTAAAATTTGTTTCGTTGTGCTTTGATAGCTTAACAAAACGCGATTTCGTTACTTTGATTTCTTGTAGCCCACCCAGTCAATAGATTATGTAAAAGAAAACAATTGCTTTATTTTATTGAACTTAAGTTCGCTGTGAATTGTACTATTATTTACAAATGTACTTGACTTAAATGAAAAATGTTTTAACTTTATTTCAAAATGACGTCCAATCTGTTTATATAAAGTTTAACAAAAGTTCTAAAGTTGTTCTTAAGCTTCTATTAGTGTCATACTTTAATAAGTAATGATGCAAAATACATCATCACTTTTATTTTTATTTTACTTTTCACAAATCATTTAAAAAATGCTAAATTATTCGTACACATTTAATGTTTATCCATTTAAATGATCAATGGTTCTTTGATTTTGTGAAAGAAAGTAGTCAGCAGTTTTTAAAGATTCCTATCCCATCCCTCTACCTATACTTTTTATTATTATTATTTTTTGTTAAAATTTGTACAGCCCAACAGAATTACTACTATCTACCATTACAATTAAATCTACATTTAAATTAATTTCATAAATCTTTAGTCTTCTTTTTCTTTTTTTTTTTTTTTTGCTATAAGACTTATTTATAAAAACAAAAAAACTATTCCAAAATATTTTTAGCGACATTCTTTTGAACAGGTCTTAACTTATAAGGGTCAAATGAAATTTTATATTCATTATAAACCCTTTTAAACAAATATCATGCACTTGGTTCGTGTGTTATGTTTGTTATCGGGATTTACTTTTATTTGTAGAGTTTGTTTAAAACCGCAAGCAATTAAGCCTAGACTTTTTCTTTTAAAATCTGTATTAGATCTTTTATTTCAAGTAAATAATACCAAATGTTTCTTATAATAAGAACAACAAAAAAAAAATTTTAACTACTAGGTTGTATTTATAAACGATACGGACAATCGATGTATATATATATATATATATATATATATATATATATATATATATATATATACATATATATATATATATATATATATATATATATATATATATATATATATATATATATATATATATATACATATATATATATATATATATATATATATATATATATATATACATACATATATATATATATATATATATATATATATATATATATATATATATATATACATATATATATATATACATATATATACATATATATATATATATATATATATATATATATATATATATATATATATATATATATATATATATATATATATGTATATATATATATATATATATATATATATATATATATATACATATATATATATATATATATATATATATATATATATATATATATATATTTATTTATTTATACATACACGCAGAGGCGATTTTACGAGGAAGGGGGTGGGGTGAGGGGGTGTTACAAAGCCAGTCAGTACTTTTTAAGGTTTCACCCCCTCCCCATCATTTTTTTTGTAGAATCGCAGCTGTATATATATATATTAAAAACAATAATCAAATGCTTAATATTTGAAACATTAATTTATCAAATAAACAATCGAAAACAAGCAATTACATTGAGACGTTGAACAAACGCGTTAAAAACTAAAAAACCCCTTAAAACTAAGTCACAAAAAAAAGCGTAAAACCCGTATCAGCTCTGCATACTTTTATTTCTTTCTTTTTTTTTTTTCACAAACCTAAATAATTTTAAAAATTTTAGATTATGAAAACAATGAAATAAACTACATGCTTCGTCATATAAATAAAATTTACATTTCTCAAAGATATTTTCTGCAATATATATTACTGTTAGTAAGTTAATACTAACTTTTTTTTATGAAAGAATAATATATATATGTATATACAAAACAGTTTCGTAAGGTCAAAAATATATAAAATTTGTATTAAATTAAAAAAAACAAATACTGTCATAATTAAAACATTAGATTCCTTTTATAAATAAATAACTCAATAGAAAGCAGTCAATTAAAGAGCTCAAAAATAAAACTTAAATTACTAAACATAAAGCAGTTTTAAAAACGGAAAAGTTATGAGAAAATGAGGTGTGAAACTAGTTTAAGAATTTCACGCGGTATAAAAAATATTTAACTCGTTAAAATAAATTTCAAGCTCGGTTTCCAGTCCCTCAGAATACCAATATTACTACTATTTGCTTTGGTTATTTTCTTTAAGCGTATGCCAATCAAAAAAAAAAAATTTTTAATAAAACTGAAAGAGAATTAAAAATACAAAAAAAAAAAGAAAAAAAGAAAAAAACATCGCTCTTAAAAAAACATTTTTTGGTAAAAAAAAAAACAAAAAAAAAAAAAAAACTTGAGGAATATAAAAAATACTAAACAATATAGAATAGTAGGTTAATTTCAAAGTCCGTTTTCAACAGATTGTGCATTCGCACCTTTCGAAATTAACAAACTAGCAATATCAAAGTCACCTAACTCTACTGCATATTTAAGCGCTGAAACTCCATAATTGTCTACAGAATTAACTGAAGCCCCGGCTGCAATTAAAAGTTTTACAACATCTATCAATTCTAATGCAACAGCAAAAACAAGAGGAGTCTGTCCTTCATTATTTCGTTCTTCAATATCTATTTCATCGCGGTGCTTTAACAAATATATCGATAAATCTCTTAAACTCTGCTTTTCGATGGCATCATGCAACAAAAACTTACCATTATTTAGTTCATTAATTTTTTCTGTTGCAAAATTGTCAACATCTATATTATGCAAATTAATGACGTACTGTTTAAGAATTTCTCTGTCGTTTATTATCGGTTTATGATGGTGAAGATCTTTGTTAAATGTTTTCGATCGCTTCAAGGTACACCCAGATGGCTTAGTTCTTGTAGAAGATTCAAACTGAAAATCATCAATTCCTGTTGTGATTCCGTTAATCGATTGTCTCAGTTCTTTGCTACCTGAACTCCGGTTTAACGGTTTTTTTGATCTTCGAACTACCGTGCTTTTAAGTTTTTTAATCTCATCGTGACTTGGTTTTTCTGATAAAACGTATTCTTTCTCCATTGCTTTTTACAACTATATTAAAAGCTTCAAGTTTATAAACTTAATTGAAAGTTACTACTTATGAGAGTTTTAAGATGGTTTATGCAAGATTAGCGTTGAGTTGTTAATATAAACAATCTAAAATTAAATACCTAAGTTGTACCGCAAGTTGTATGATAAACAAATTAAGAAAAATATAAAAAATCCTTTTCCTTTAAGGTTTTGTTTAGCTTTAAACACGTGAGTTTTAGAAGTATTGCGATTGGCTTTACTAATTTTCTTTAAATTCATTCATATTTCCGGTTCTATTGCAATTTTAACTCAAATAAAACAATTAAGTATACAGTTTTATCAAGCGCCTGGTGGTTTGTATTGACGTGATTATAAAAATAAGGCCATTGCATTTTAAGTTTACATTTGGATATCATATTTTAACGAATCTAAAATGATTTTAAAGATGTTTGTATTTCTGTCTGTATAATTTTTGTCTATTTATCTTTTACGTTAAACGCCTTTTATCAAACCAAGTTTTACGTTAAACACCTTTTATCAAACCAAGTTTTGATAGATATGGCCCCGACTGACAAAAATCCAATAAAAAAATATATGCAACCCAGTAACAAAAAATTATCTTAAAAAGACCGTATAAATTCTTATTATGTTGCTTTTTTTTTTTGCGGCATTTGGTGACTTATTGATATATATTATTATTTGTATAAGATTATACTTATTTACTTTATATAAATATGTGCTTGATTGAACATGAGACGCTATTGACGTTGCTTTACTCACATGCTGACAATACTGATACTGACTATACCAGGAGATTACTGACATTAGGAACATAATGACATACTGATAATTTGCATTATAATGCACCAATATAAAACTATATAAAACAACACCAATATAAAATTATATAAAATTTTTGTATATTGATACTTATTTTTCATGCATAAACAGTTTTGGTCTTAATATTAAGGCCAAAAATTTTATATATTATATAAATATATATTATATAAATATATATAAATATATATATATATATATATATATATATATATATATATATATATATATATATATATATATATATATATATATATATATATATATATATATATATATATATATATATATATATGTATATTCATATATATATATATATATATATATATATATATATATATATATATATATATATATATATATATATATATATATATATATATATATATATATATATATATATATATATGCATCACAACAACTACTTGTTTCTGGCTTAGCAATCGTCAGGGGAGCAATGCTCTCTACATTTGGCAAGGGAAGTACAAAGTAAAAATATGATTAAATAACCGTTCATTGATTGCTAAATGCATTACTAAAACAAGGAAGCTGTACAGATTTAACTTCATTGTTTGAAATAAAGTGGTAAAAGCAACCATTGGTTCAATTGTTAAACTTAATTTAAACAACATTGAAAAATTATTATTCGGAAATGATAAATAATTATGGCTTATAACACCGTTTAATCAAGGAAACGATTTTTGGCAGTTGTTAAAATTAAACCTAATCACATGATAATATCAAGGAAATTACACAAATTAGGAAATTACACAAAACAATTACTTACAAGAAAAATTTATATTGTGTATATATGGGGTGTAATTTTTTTTCACATGCACTTCTTCTACACGTTAAAAGACTTTCATAAAATTTAAACGAAAGTAAAAGAAATTTTATTATTCTTTTTTTTTTTGGACGTCAGGTTGAAGGAGGGGTGGACTAAATATTGTTGTTTTGTTCTAATGCTCTAGTTACTGTATTTTCTATTTAAATTACAAAAATTTTCAGTTGGTATTATATCCGGAAAATGCGTTTACTGCTATTACCCATTTTTTTTTAAAAAAATGAATGCTGGCTCACTCTGGCACTAATCTCCTCATAAATAAATTATCATAAAAATGCCAAGCAAAATAAACTTTTTCTAATAAATATGGAATATATGAATGAAATATAATGAAAAATAGTATTACTCTTGTGAGCTTTTATTTTAATTTTTTTTCCTTTTTTTTTTTTTTTTTTTTCTTGTTACTCAAATGCAGGTAAGAAAAATAATGGCGGGTGTTTACTAATGCTAAAGGTATAAAAAATTAAGTTGATACATTTTTTAACAACAGTATTTCTTTTTAAATTGATTTACAAAGTTTTTTTACGAAGTTTTTTTTGTTACCAATAAAAAAACATTAAGACCTAAAGTAAACATTAAGATTTTTAACTTACGGACTCATTAAAGTGATTCTTTAAATGACGTCATATCTCTTAGTAGATTTGCGGTATCTGTGACAATTGAATCCTTTTTATCAAAGGATGGGAAAAAGTGAATAAAAATCAAACAAAAGTTAAATAAAAAAAAATTTTTTTCAAGTTTAAAAAAAAAGTGCTGACACGAATAACAAAATATCTAAAACATTAAAACTCAAAAAGTTACATTGAATTTTTACTACTCGCGCCAGGTCTGTATATATAAAATTATATATAGTTGATGTAATTAAAATTTTTGCTGATAAAGAGAAAAAAGGGTCTTCGTTTTTTGAAATTTGCAGACTGAATGGTCAACATTTGCCGACTGACAGTGACGGAATCAGGAATTTTTTGGGGATGTTGAAATAATTTTGTATTTGGTATCACATTTACGTCTCTTAAAAAAAAAACAAGGTCCTCATTTCAAAGATTTTTTAGGATATACAGATACTGGTGGGGGGGGATGTATATCCTTTATACTCTCCCCCTTCCGGTATCCCCCCTTGAATTTTATTATTTATTTTGTTTTGAAAAAAAAATGAGAAAGAAGAAGACATTATCTTTGTCTTATCGCCGAGTACTGTGTTACAATGACGAACTGTAGGTAAACCTAAGTAAAAAATACAAAATTCTTAACAAACACTATGTAATTTTATTTCCAGTAATCAATTATGTAGAGCAAAAAGATTTCCTATTTAGTTTTGGGCAACAAACTTGCTCTTTTTTCATAAAACGTTACCTGCCTCTGAAAATAGTATTGTCTCATTTTAAATGTGACTTATATTGTAAACAATTAAAAATTATAGAATGCTCAATATAGAAAGTATTTCAATTTTAATCTAAATAGAAAAATAGAAAAAAAAAGAAATAATTTTAATCATACATATAATGCAGATTAAAACTTTCGCTAAATAAAATTATAAGAAACAAATAAAAACAACATATTAGATTTAAATGATGCAAGAATCAAATTAATGAAATAGGTTATATATTGAAGATACAAATATATAAATATGATGGGAAGAGGGGTCTGATGGAAAGAGGGGTCTGATGGGAAGAGGTGTCTGATGGGAAGAGGGGTCTGATGGGAAGAGGGGTCTGCAAATGCAGTATATGAGATGGAGACCTGGTAAGGGATACTCAAAAAAGCGTATAGCAAATGGATATATTATAACCTATAATATGTATATATACATATATATATATATATATATATATATATATATATATATATATATATATATATATATATATATATATATATATATATATATATATATATATATATATATACATATATATATATATATATATATATATATATATATATATATATATATATATATATATATATATATATATATATATATATATATATATATATATATATATATATATATATATATATATATATATATATATATATATATATATATATATATATAAAAGTACCTACCTATTTAACATTTTTTGATATTTTCTTTTAATTTAGTGTCTTCTTACTTTTATAATTGTTCCAGGTCTCCATCTCATATACTGCATTTGCAGACCCCTCTTCCCATCAGAGCGCTCTGCGGGATTTAATTTGTTTGTGGTATTACCTATTAACTTAGGCTATCTTATTTTAATGCTAATACTTTTGTAAACATCTAACTTAATTCTCAGTTTATACTCGGGGTGTACCGAATTGGAAATTTCGAATTCCGGCCGGGAACAAGAATTGTTCGTAGGGATCGTCCATAAGGTACGTACGCTCGAACGTACGTATCTTATGGATAATTCATTCTTTGCAACCAATAACGGCAGAGTATTTGGGAAGGGAAAACCTTTTTAAATAAAGCAAATTAACTATATATTTTTAAACAATATTTGTCAGTTTTATACTTAAAATTATTAACTCACAAAAACAAATTAAAAAGTGTTACAAAAATAATAAGTTTATTTTTTGTATTTTTATTAAAACTTGGCAATTTATTTAAAAAACACTGAATTAAAATGTTCATGCTCGTGTTACCTTCTATTTAGTCCAAGTTTCTAACTACGACGAAACAGCTGATTAACATTCAAATGGTATATATGCTATGCGGTTATCAGCAAAGCACATATGTTGAACCCAAAGTTTTTATTATTTATTTTTCTTGTTATAAATATAAAAAAATAAAAATAATTAAACTCTTACAATTAGTGGCTGCAAGCATACACTATTTACATTTGGAGTTAAAAGAATTTAAAAACATAACAACAGTTTTCAAAATAAGGACGAAAAGAGCTGGCTAGAGGGTGGTTCAAACGGTGCAGTCGCACAAGGACCCGCGTTTCGAAAGATTTTGCCATAAAGCACGCAGGAGATAAATTTGGAATTATTTGTAATAAATATATCTATATTTTTTTCAATAAAATTCAATTTTTTGTTATTTGATTTATTAAAGAAAATTTTATCACTGTAATGTTAGTTTATTTATTTATAATATTTTTAGTGACTTATAATAATATTATTTTAGTGTCATTGTTTAACGTATACGTATACGTATATATATACGTAACGTATACTATATAGTGTACAAACAAATAATATGTGTAAAAAATCATATATGTGTACATATATGTACTATAATAATACTAAAGCCTCGCAAGGTTATCCTGTACCGGGCCCGCATTTGTTCAAGCCAGCCCTGAGGACGAATATAATATTTAAAGAAATAGAGAACAAAATCAGTAAAAGAAAAAGTAAAAGATTACAACATCTGTCCAATAAAATCTGTGGAGTAGTCCAAGATTATCTGTACACTTTTGTTCAAGATCATCTGTATTTTTCTTTTACTCTAATAACATCTTTCCAATAACATCTGAAAATTCAACAATCCCTAACAACATCTTTAGAAAGATGTAATTACATATGGTAATTTTTCTCCAATTCCTATAACATCTTGAAGAATTTTCTCCAGATGTAGTTACATCTGAAAAAATTTCCATATGTTGCGACATCTAGTTAAAATAATTTTTCTCCAGATTTAGTTACATCTGAAAGAGTTTCTATATGT